ATATAGCATTAATACTATGAAAATATAAATAAATGAAAGGATTTAAAATCAGATTAAAATGAACTTCAAACATTGTATAAAAGAATGTTTTATTTTCTCATGATGGCTGTGCTTAAATTGTAAGGTATGTTTGCTCATTGAAATAATTAATTGAAAGAAGAGTAATAGCTAAATAAAGCAGATTATAGATATTTTTAAGAAAAAAATAATATGAAATGATCGAGGATGTGTTGGTTGCAATTCAAAAGTTTTAGATAAAAATTCACTACAAACAATAAATAAAAGGTTTCTCTTTTAAGTTATTTTATGAGTCCCTAGAAACTAAATGTGATAAGTGTATATTTTTGTGTGTGAGGATGGAATATTTTAAACAGGGAGTAATTGGTTGTTTTCATTTTCAACAATAGCACAAAAGATCAATGAACTTGAAGCTGCTCTTCAGAAGAAAGATGAAGATATGAAAGCAATGGAGGAACGATATAAAATGTATTTAGAGAAAGCAAGAAATGTGAGTCATCTGTCTTACAGAACTCCCACCTCTGTGATGCAGGTGCTAAGTAGGCCTGTTCCACCTGATTGTACTGCTCTTCTTGTTTCCATGTCACGTCACTTCCTTCCCCACTCTCTGTCTTGCCCAGGTCAGTCCTCCCATTCTCTCTCACTCACCAGCCTCAGGAAAACGACCACATGGCTTACAGAAACAGTTAAGCATGGACAGGGGTGACCTCTTTAGAGAAAATGACCACTATGATATGTGGCATTGTTAGCTTTAAAATGAAGGCATGTTTGCCTTTTGTGAAAATTTAGCTTTTTAAATTTGTTTGAAAGTATTTTAGCATTTAGTATAGCTTAGGCAATTATATACTGTTCTAGTGTTCACCACACTAATTATTCTTTTTATTTGTATTCTTTACTAAATATCTGTAAGTGATATTCTTATAAAATCTTTTATTTTCATGAATACCATATATTTTCCCAATCATAAGTGTTCTTTCACAAAATGTCAATGTATTGTTTTCAATTTACTGAATGAAAAAAAAAGAATTTTGTGATGAAGTTTTATAATATTGCTAATGTCTGCCCTTTTAATGTTTTATATAATATTCATTAAGGCGTAAATAGTATCTGCAGTAGCAGATAAACTGCAAGATCTTCTTAAAGCTTAGCAAGATGGATGTTACATGAAATCTAGTCATCAGTGGGGGAGGCACTCTGCTCCATGCAGTCATTCAGTCTTAAAGCGAGAGAGGCACCACCTTCTTCAACATACAGTTCCCAAGTTCACTTGACATTCTTCAACTAGTGGATGAGGGCGTGAGCATAGCTTGTGTGGGAGGTAGGTCATGGGGTCAGACCTGGAAGCAGTGTAAACCACTTTGACTCGCCTCAGTGGGCAGAGCTCAGGTACATAGCCACACTCAGCTTCTCAGGAGGTAGTCCATGCCACAGTTCAGTTTCTCTGTTTCAGAAGTGTAAGTGCCTTTAGTAAAAATATAAAGCATAGAAAGGTTCCCAGATACAACTGCTGTTAACCTTTGAAATACTACCTTAACACCGTATATTTTTCAATGGATATTTCTCTATGTTTCTTTACCATAATATACACATACATGATTTGTGTGTTTTTTAAACTTAAAAGAATTTCCTCATGGAATATAAATGTAATTTGATTTTTATTGAGCGTCTCTTATGCTAAGCCCTGGTCGTGCAGCACTAAGCAAGACAGACATCACACTTACAGAACAGACTTTGCAAAAGTAAAAGAATGGTGACATAATATTCAGTTGTATGATATATCACAGTTATTTAGTTGTCATCCTATTGTTGAAAATAGCTTGTTTCCATTCTTTTTTCTTTTTTTGTTCCTAGAAATAAGGCTATAGGCAACATAGTTATTCAGAAAGCTTTTGACTTATTTTGGTTTATCATAACCTTGTTCCTAGGTTAATGGGTGAAATAGAATTATTGGGTCAAAGGTTAAGAACTTCTTAATAAGATGCTTTTTCTGTATTTCTAAATGATACTCTAAAAGGACTATAATTAATTGAACAGAGCAATGACAAAATACCATATTCTTGCCATCATTGAATATTCACATTAAAAAAAATGATACTTGTTTGGTAAACATGATTTTTTTTTTCCCTCTTACACTATTTGGGGGAGAGTTTAAAATAGTAACATATGTCCATTATAGAAAATTCAGGAAATATAGAAAAGTCACAGCCATACTTTTTATCACTAGAGTTAACAGATTATGATTTTTTTCTTTGTAGTTAAATTATAATTTAAACTCTGTATGTTGTGTGTATGATGTGAATCCCATGAGGGCAGGCACCATGTCTCTCATAACTTGCTGTACCCCCATCTGTCACTGTGCCTGCCACTTCCGGCACTCAGTAAATCATTTTGAATGAACAGCAGAAATTGTTAGGCACATTACCTTTGTACTCTTTTTTTCTATCATCTGTAACTACATACAATATTTTCCTAAATCATTAAATAATTTTAAATATTTTAATGGGTTTTTAATTACAATATACAGGTGACTTTATTACTGGCAACTTGATTTTGCTGTAATTTATTCCTGATGCTTCTAAATTGATTTATACATAGTTTAGCAAAGTCTCAGAACAACATTGTGCTAAAACATATGAGTTTTACTCAACTCTTAGTAATTTAATATGATTGGCACCCCAGTGTTTGCAGAAAATAATCACCAATATCTATTATATTGATCTTATGTATTGAATTACTACATTTAACTAGATAGTAAAAAAGATTGTTGCTAAGAATTTTTGTGTGTATTACTCTTACTTTGTACAATCAGCAGTTTTCACTATAATTACTGAATTCATTTTAACATTTTAAATAATGTTTAAGGCATATAAAAGTAGAAGGCATCTTACCTCCCTCATTTCTGATATGCTTCAAGACTTCAGTGCTCAAGGTTTGATATGGCCAAATAACTATCCCTGATTATTGAGCCTTGGAGAAGGGACATTTGATTTTGAGATGGGGATTTTTTCATTTTGTACTGAATTTTTATTCTCTTTCTCACCTATAGAATAAGTTATTTTGTAATTCAAATTAAATTATGGGACAAATTATAGTTAGTTGCTGGATCACTTTCTGCATAATTTTCCACTTACACTGATTTTGTAGACTGTGTTCTTATATTTCAACAATTTATAAGATAAAGTGAACATACTTTTTTTTTCTTTAAACAGGTTATAAAAACTTTAGATCCTAAATTAAATCCAGCATCAGCTGAAATAATGCTGCTTAGAAAGCAGTTGGCAGAGAAGGAGAGAAGAATTGAGATTCTGGAGGTAAAACTTCATATTCATACCTCTCCTCTTATTATTCTGTATAATCCTGATAATTAACTATTGACATATATTAGCCATTAATTATCAAGTCTCACAAGAAGTTAGAAATACTCTGTTTTAGCACTGTATGGTCATTGCAGAGCATCTCACTGGCCCACAACATTGGTCTCTGCAGTTTGTGCTCCCTCCTGCATTGTATCTCCCTCCCTCCTAACAGCCAGTCTCTGGATGTCTCTTATAAGTTTTTAATAGATTCCACTATCATGCTCCTTTTAAAATTATGTGGATGAGAGTTCATTCAGAAAAAAAAAAAAGGAAATGAAAGAAAGAAACTAAGCTCGCCTTTAAATAGAGAACTGTATTCAGTTCACCAAATTTATCTTATCTCTTCTCCCTGATCCTCATGGGGACCCAAACAAACTTACTAGGTGGAATTCCTGAGAGAAGGAAGTACTTCAAAATCTCAGGAAGCCCTTGAATAAAGTGCCAGCCTGTTACTGACCATGCAAAGTTATGGTGGTAGTAACATTTTTAAATTTTAGAGTTATTTTTATATCAGTAGTTACGTTATTTTTATGAACTGGGTGAAGTATAAGTATGTCAGTATCAAATTGTATATTCTTAGATTTTTATAATTGGGCATGTTCTACTTTGCAAAGTGCTTTACAAAACTACTGTTCTTAATACTATGGTAAGATTTGATGTTATTCTTGAAGTCAGTGTATACTTCCTCATAATCACATATGGATAATTGCAGAACCCTGTTGAATTCTATATACTCACCTTGAAATTCTCATAATTCATAATTTGAATCAACTAGGAATGCTTTATTTCAAGGAAACATTTTATGTTCACTTATAACTTTCTTCTTGTTATTTCTGAGCCAGTAGATATGGGCTGTGGTAAAAATATTTTGTTTAAAGATTTAAAGACTTGAATACTCAGAATATACAACAGTCTTATGTGTACTTTCTATAAGTTCCTGTTCAGGCCATATTGGCTGTTATAAAAAGCACTGGTTAGCGGGTATCTCTCTGCAGAAATGCTATTCATTCTTGAGGATTCAACTCAGATGTGTTCCCTTAATTCTCTCTCCAGAGTTTGTCCATGTGCTGTGAACTCATGAATTCATTCCACAGTATCATTCTTTGAATTAGGCTAGAAGGCTGTGAATTGAGGCGAGAGGCTGTATCTTATATCTCTGTACTCCCACCATTAAATATTACATAAATCAGAAGCCAAGTTGTCAGCTTTATTAGTAACTTAAAGTGATCATCTTTCTCCTTGGTCAGTGTGGCTCAGTTGGGTGTCATCCCAAGCCTAAAGGCTGCTGGTTTGATTACCAGTCAGGGCAGTCAATGCCTGGATTAAAAGCTTGATCCCTGTAGGGGGTGTGCAGGAGGCAGCCATTCGATGTTTTTCTCTCACATCAATGTTTCTCTCTCTCTCTCTAAAAAAAATCCAAAAAAAAGTGATCACCTTTCCTCTCTGGTCCAAGTAATGAGACTTGGACTGAGTCTCTGAAATCTAAGTTGCTCTGACTATTCACTTCCTATCAAAAGCCAGTGAGAATGGACAGCATTGTTGGTGCTTGAAATGCAGCTCCCTAACATGTATTGTGACAGAGTGGTGCCTCTACCTCTAGGGCTCTGAGGAAAAACTACAGTTAAGTCACAGCATTTGGGCCTTTAATTTATGTGTATTTATCTGTACACTGAAAGAAGTAAAAAGAAGAATAAGGTAAATAGCAGAGGTTATTCTGTCTGCCATCTTTCTTGGGGAGGGTTTGCCTGGAGCTGGTGTGAGCCAGAAGAAAGGCATCTTGCATCCCTCATTTTCTGTATGCTTTTTGTATCATCAGCATCTTGCTGTGAAAACATTCAAATGTTTTAAGGTTATAATTTTTTTAATGAATCAACTATATCTGGTACTCAGTAAAATAATACAAGTAGTTGTATTAGAGTAATTAAGAAATGGATGTCAGTCACTATGGTGGCTTGTAACTATGACCACAGGCAGTCTAGTACACAGGTCATTAAGAACTGAGAGGTAAAAACCCACGCTAAGCTTTATAGGAGATTTAAAGGATTTTCTGGAATATTTTTTATTACATCCTTCTTCTCCTTAGTTATTACTTTTCAAAATAGGTGCAGCTCTGTAAACCAGTTGTTACTTTTTTCTAGATATAAAGGATAGTAGCATAAGAATCACTAGTTTTTGTGAGCTTTGTTTTTGGTTTTTTAATACCTGTTTTACCAATAAAATTTCTGAAATAAAGATTTACTAGTTGCAATCTTACTCCTTTATAAAGCTGTTATACATGCATTTCTCCATGATTGAGTCTATATTTCGACAGTTTTTTATACCTCAAAATGCATTCATCAAATTCTCTCAATAATGAGCATACAAAGAAATGTTATTACTATTTTTAGTAATTTGGGGTTATTTGGGGGATTTTAATAGTCTTCGTATCTTTTTCCAGAGTGACTGTAAAGTAGCAAAATTTCGTGATTATGAAGAAAAACTAATTGTTTCTGCCTGGTATAATAAGGTGAGTTGAAATTCAGCTAATGATTGGATGTTTAGAACAGTGTTCATCAAACATTTTGATCAGGAAACATTGATGAAAATAATATTTTATACCACAGATCAATCTATACACACATCATATATGTAAACAAATTACCCTGTGTGCATTGCATTCAGGTATTTTCTGTCATACTCTGTTTTTTTTAAAAAAAATGTTGGTCATAATCCCAATTAACTATATATTTTAACTTAATGTGTTTAGTTGATTTTTACTTTTTCAAAATCAGTAAATTAATTTCATGACTCATTCACCTTTAATTAAAGCACATGAAGTGTACATGCAACAGTCCATAAATATTTTTAAAATTGCATTATTTGAGTTAAAACATTATATTTGTGTTCCATAAAGGTTTCTTTAGAAATGTGAATGTCTATGTAATGCAACATGAAGTGCTTCTAGTAATCAGCATTTATTTTAATATTCCCTGAAGCCTCTCAGTGTGTCTTTAGTGTATTATTTTTTTTAAATCCAGGGACTACTCCTCAGTAGTTGTTCTTACAAGGAGAAAAATAGTATAAAATAATTTGAAATGTTTTTTATCATTTTACTCTGAGTATCTGTAGGATGTTTTTAAGAAAAGTAGCATTTCATGGTTCTTTTGGGTTATTCTAATCAGCTAGAATAGATATTAATATAAGCACAACCTACCGTAGATGCTGCTTATTTAGAATGAGAAAATATCAATTTATAGGACACCCCCCTCCCCCCCCGCATCCTTCACCACATAGAACTAGTCCCTCCTCAGACATGCTTTGTTTCTTTCATGCCTTCACACTTTTTGTTCTCTTTTCTTTCCTTCTGTGCTCTATTTGGTAAAATCTGACTTAATTTAACAAGGCTTTGAAGGAAATTACTTGTGAAGTGTTCCCAGACTCTTTTCCATCATGGGTTAATCATCCTGCTGGTTAATATAGAGGACTATGGATTATTTTCTTTGTTCTGTGGCCCTTTTAAAAAATGTATTTTATTTTATTTTTTTCCATCACCATTAATCCTTCTATACCTTCCTCCGCCTCCACTACCTCCTCGCCATGCAATCACCACACTGTTGTCCGTGAGTTTTTTTTTTTTTTGCTCAATCCCTCCCCCATCTCCCAGCCGCTCCCATGCCTGAGCTGTTAGTCTTGTATCTATGAGTCTGTCTCTGTTTTGCTTGTTATCTCATTTTATTCATTAGATTCCACATATGAATGAAATCATATGGTACTTGTCTCTCTGACTGGCTTATTTCACTTAGCATAATATTCTCCAGGTCCATTCATGCTATCTCAAGGATAAAATTTTCTTTTTGATAGCCAACTAGTATTCCATTGTGTAAATGTACCAGAGCTGTTTTATCCACTCATCTGCTGATGGACACTTAAGTTGCTTCCAAATCTTGGCTATTATAAATAACACTACAGTGAACACAGGGGTGTATATATTCTTTCGAATTAGTGTTTCTGGTTTCTCCAGATAAATTTTCAGAAGTGGAATCACTGGGTCATAAGGCAGTTCCATTTTTAATTTTTTGAAGTATCTCCATACTGCTTTCCACAGTGGCTGCACTAAGTCTTCATTCCCACCTTATTTGTTGATATATTAATGATAGCCATTCTGATATCTCATTGTGGTGTTACTTTACATCTATGTGATGATTAGTGAACTTGAGCATCGTTTCATATGTCTATTGGCCATATGTCCTTTTTGCTCTTTAATTGGATTGTTTGTTTTTATTTGGTGTTGAGTTTATAAGTTCTTTATAAATTTTGGATATTAACCCCTTATCAAATGTATCGGCAATTATGTTCTCCCATTCTGTGGATTGTCTTTTTATTTTATGGATGGTTTCCTTTGTTGTGCAAAAATGTCTTAGTTTGATGTAGTTCTATTTGTTCATTTTTCTTTTATTTCCCTTGCCCAAGGAGATATATCAGAAAAAATATTGCTACAAGGAATGGCCATAATTTTACTACCTATGTTTTCTTCTTGGATTTTTATGAGCCTAACATTTAAGTCTGTAATCTAGTTTTAGTTTATTCTTGTGTCTGGTGTAAGAAGGTGGTCTGGTTTCATTTTTTTTGCATTCATCTGTCCAATTTTCCAACACTTTTATTAATAGACTAGCTTTACCCCATTGTATGTTTTTGCCTCCTTTGTTCAAGCATTAATTGTTGTAAAGGCATGGGGTTATTTCTGGGCTGTCTATTCTGTTCCATTGATCTATATGTCTGGTTTTTTTTTATGCCAGTATCAATGCTGTTTTTTTTAAGTATTTTTAAAAGAATATTTTTATTGATTTAAGGGAGAGGGAGAAAGAGATAGAAACATCAGTGATGAGAGAGAATCATCGATTGGCTGCCTCCTGCAATCCCACTATTGGGGATGAAGCCCGCAACCCAGGCATGTGCCCTAACCAGTAATCGAACCATGACCTCCTGATTCATAGGTTGACAATCAACCATTGAGCCACACCAGCTTGGCACTATGCTTTTTTGATAACTGTGGCCTTGTAGTACAGTTTGATGATAGGTAGTGTGAGTCCTCCAACTTTGTTCTTTTTTCTCAAGATCATATTGTTATTTGGGATCTTCTGTGGTTCTATATAAAATTTTGGAAAAATTCTGTGACATATGCCATTGGTATCGTGATAGAAATTGCATTGAATTTATAGACTGCTTTGGGTAGTATGGACATTTTAATGATGTTAATTCTTTCAATTCATGAACAAGGAATATGCTTCCACTTATTTGTGTCTTCTACAGTTTATTTCTTTGGTGTCTTATACTTTCCCAAGTATAGGTCTTTTACATTCTTGACTAAATTTATTCCTGGGTATTTTACTCTTTTGAAGCAATTTTGAATGGGATTGTTTTCTTAGTTTTCCTTAAGCATGCATCTGAAGACATTGTTAAAATATTGGACTCACCTACAGAGCTTCTTACTCACTAGTTTTGGGTAGCATTTATAGGTTGAATTTACATTTTTTAACAAGTTCTCATTGGTGCTAATGTTAATCCAGGGGTTACACTTAGGTAACCATTGACCCAAGCTTTTTTTTTTTTTTTTTTTTTTTTAATATATTTTATTGATTTTTTACAGAGAGGAAGGGAGAGAGATAGAGAGTCAGAAACATCGATGAGAGAGAAACATCGATCAGCTGCCTCCTGCACATCTCCCACTGGGGATATGCCCGCAACCCAGGTACATGCCCTTGACCGGAATCGAACCTGGGACCCTTCAGTCTGCAGGCCGACGCTCTATCCACTGAGCCAAACCGGTTTCGGCGACCCAAGCTTTTATATTGTGTTATGGGTGCTCAATGTGGGTGGAGTGATTGCCCAAATGCAAAATTTTGCTTTGGAACCTTTTTATTTTAATTGTTCTTGTAATTAAAGTTAGTTTTAGAGCATTATTTTAAGGTGCTGTTTTTAATGATTTTATATTTAATGGCTTAACATAGAGAAACTAGGTTTTATGCCCTTGTTTTCTTCTTACCAGCAGTACCAGATTAACTTCTGCACCCTTATTCTTTAAATTAAAAAATGAGGCCAACACCAGCTTTGTAGTATTGTTTCGAGGATTAAATAACTTTATGTATGTAAAAAGCACTTTAAAATCTAACGCTAAGTAGTCATTTTATTTTTTATTTATTTTTGTTCAGAGTCTAGCATTCCAGAAACTGGGGATGGAATCTAGACTTGTGAGCAGCAGCGGGGCTGGCAAAGACCCTGCTGCATGTCCTCCTGCACGGTCTTTCCTAGCACAGCAGCGGCACATCACCAACTCCCGAAGAAATCTCTCTGTAAAAGTTCCTGCTGCAGCCTCTGATTAAACTGCTAAAGACAACAAGCAGAAGTGCCCTTAAAATAGTTTGTGTCTTTCAACCAACTACCAGACTGAAAAAGATGTTTATGATGCTGGATATCAGCTGTTCAAGAGGCACGGAATTAAGTTTGCTGGCTGACTTTGAAAACAAATTTTACAATTAGCTGTTTCTCTGAGGGAGCACATTTGAATAATTAGAAGATGTAATTAGGCACCCATCTAAACATTTGTGTTTTGAGACTATTATAATTTCAAATTGACTTTGTATATTTTAGTTTAGTGTTTTCATTTGTGTCAGTAACTTGGTTAATTTGCAATGTGTAATCAGTAATAAGTAATTTAAAAATACATTTATATTCATTTTATTGTTTTGGTCCATATAAAAATAACCTTAAGGTAGGCACATGTAGAACTATACAAGAGTTATATTTTTTTTACTTGATATATACAAGACTTGACCTGTAGCCTCTA